CACACACACACACACACACACCACTTCAAGAACCCCACAGTCCTCTTTCTAACCATTCCCACCCACCATGATAACACTAGTCATTTCTCATTCACAGTCAAACGAAAGTGAAGCCTCCAAAATCTCCGCCAGCAAAAATAATGGGAACAGCAAGCACGGCTTCCGGTTGCGCAAGAAGGGGAGATCACCCACACAGCCCAACAACTACAACGACAAGCGACATAACGCCATGTTGTACAGGGGACACTACTCAGACACGTCGAGCATCGCCAGTCGCTACACCACGTCATCGGAGAGGAGAGAGAGAAAGAAGACGAGGAGACTGGGCCTCTTTCTTCTTCTGCTTATCGTTGCTTTCATCATAGCTGCCCTCATTGGGTGGCTCGTCTATTATCTTCTAACCAGAGGTTTGTATTCGCGAGATATTTTTTCAAGCTGTGCAGAGAGGCTACACTTCTATATGTGAGGCAGCGTGGTAGAATCAGGCTCTCGTCAATATTTGGACATGTAGAGTTATTGGTATCATCTTAAAGCTTATTCACTTGTTTTTATTTGGATGAAAAAATATACATTTATCTTGAATACAAGTCGAGATATTTGCGAAAGAAAGAGGTCGCGGTCACCTGTTTTCAGAGGAAAAATTATTGAGGAAATGACCTCCAAAGATTAGTCATTTCCTTAGCTTAAGAGTCCGTGGTAACTGAAAATTTACATACGCTTTTCAGAAAAATCCACACAGAAATTAGTTCTTTAATGGACATGAAAGGTGTTGAGCCAAAAACCAAAAATTTGATTAAAATTCATAAAACCTGCGGAAAAATGCAAGTTTCTTCACTTTGATTATTTTGACGAGAGCCTGATTCCACCACGCTGCCTCACATATTATGCTTTTGCAGTTTTTAATTTATGTAGGTATGAAGGTGATATACACCCCTTTCGACACAATTTAGGTCATATCGCAGGTGGGCGTCGACACAATTTAGGTCATATAGGAGGTGGGCGTCGATCCTTCCTGTCAGCGCATTTTAGTGTAATGCACTAGTCTAGGCTATGCTAGCCAACGACTCCCAGCCTTTGGTTTGTTTTGGTTGTTAAGTTAAAAATCAAAGTTATCTCTGGTCTAACGACAACATGTCATTATAATTACAGTTTCTTAATTTTTGAACATTTGAACCGTAGGGTTTTCTGCTTGCATTACCTATGCTTACGTTATTGTTGTTTTGTCTGGGGTTTATTTCGCGGACGGATCCATACGGATAGCACAACATGTAAATTAATGTGGCTAAAAATAATGGAGAAATAAAGATTTTTTCCAATCCTCAGTTTGACTACAACGGGCATGAAAAGTTTTGATTTCATGTGAGAACATTGAAAGGACCCTCTTGTTCCCTTGATAGGGCATTTGAACTTTGCTGGTTCTGTTCTATTACGCCAGCTGATATCAGAATGGTAGAAACATTTATTGCACTCTCTTTAAAATTCGTGATTACAACTTGGCAATTCCACTCGTAGGATA